CATGTGATGTGGAATGTACTGGAGGTCTGTACTGAGATAGGGACTGGTGGGTGGGCTGTTCTGAAGGGGGTATAGGGCTGTGGGCTTTCAGCATGTAGAAGTAACTCTATGTTGGCCTATGTTGGGCATTTGCAGGCATATTTGAAGAGGAGCATTTACAAGCTGAAAAAAAAAACATCACAAGTGAGCTTTTCAGAGAAGCAGAAAAAACACTTGAGGTGCATAAGGGTCCATGCATACAGGGCTTAAAAAAAACGCTAGTTACCTTGGCAGAAAAAAAAGCTCATATAGAGCATTTTTGTACAGGAGTTTAGGAAAGTTTTGGAGCTTCTAGGGGAGTTTAGGAGCATTCGGTATTTTTCTCTGCCAGAAAACTTCTCAAAAGAGCAAAACAGAAGAGTTTTTTTTCTGCTTCTAAACACTAAGCTTAAATATGCCTCTAACATCCTTATGTACATGGACACATAGGATAACACTCAGCTGCTTCTACAGGCAAAGCTCCTGTCAAAGCAGTGTTTTTTTTAATGGACCCCAGTGTTCATGGACCCTAAAAGTACATAAGCGCACATAAATGCAGTGTTCAGGCATGTTTGCTCTTTTCAATTGTACATTGATTTTAGTGAAAAAATGAGCAGAGGAGAATGTTTTATATGTTTATGGTAAAAATGTTTATAAATGCAAATACACATAAATGCCCATAATTGTATGTGCAATGGGTACCATTATGCATGTTTTTTTGTACCACTTTTTTTCTGCCAGAGGTTCTGACATTTGTTCAGGTGCTTAGTGTGCATGAAGCCCTAAAAATGGGAAATCTTCCATTGGGGACACTACACTAGATCTGGTGACCCTGGTGACAATTAAGGATTCCCTCACATTGAAGGAAATGTTTTGGTTATTGGATGGCAAAAAAACTTGACAGTTGTTATAAACATCCCTTACTCTATCCAAAATGAAGAAAAAAAAAAAAGGTTTGACTTTAGTTTTACTTTAAATACAAAAGTAAATCATAAGCAAAAGGGTGTGGAGGGGTGAGGCAAGAAATTTGAATGGCACAAAAGGCAGTTTGGGTAGCGGTACTGTCACAATCTCTGTCTAGATTTGTCCTTGTGAGAACTGCTTCAGGCATTGTGAAACATTCTCTAGAACACGATCATGAGGCCGGGAAAAGCTCTGTTACATTTACAAAAGATAAATCATTCTGAGTTGACATCACAATTATTTCAAAGCAGATACTAATAATTAAACTAGATCTGATTTGTGTCAATGTTAGTAAATGTACATAAGCAATCTGTAAACTATCATGATCGCTAATCATACATTTACCCCAGACCCTGAAATGGAGGGACATTTCAGTCAGTGTAATTATGTAACGTGTTTATATGTGGGCACTGGAGGCTTACCACAACTATATGTTGGTATGACATTTTGTGCTGCCTGGTGACATACTATACTGACACTAGGTAAGTTTTGCAGATGGTTCAGAAAGGGGTGACAATAAAAGAAGGTTAGTGGAGGCTGCAAAGATTTTTGTCTTGGATGTTAATATCTTTCACTTGATTTTGGTGCCATGTGGATTTTGACATCAGGGGTGAGCACTGCTTCAGAATAAGTGACTGAAATGAAGTTCACTTTAGTATTGCATTCATTTTAAAGTTGTCTTATTGTAAGCCTAAAAATTTTTAAGGGACTGATGGTAGTCTCACAAAACAGAAAGAGTAAATCACAATAATGATTTGTCATATAGATCAGTTTTGTCACATTTCTATAAACTACATTGATATAGACTTAATAAAGAAATGCAATTGACTGCTTATAATATTTATTCCCATGAATCAAATTAAAAAAATTAATGTGATATTGTGGCAGGGACCATTATTGACATAGTCATGTCTTACAACCCATACGTTTACTGAAGAGGGTGGCACTAAAGATGAAATTTGGATTCACAGCATGGTGGGTTGGTCACAAAGCTGGGGTTTAAGGTTCACAGTTCCAGCAAATGTATGCTAAATTTAGTTGGATTGAATTTTACAGGACCATTATACTCTGCTTGACCTTTCAACTATGGTCAGTAGGTTTAGAATGGGGGCTTTGTTATGTGCCAGCACTCTTACTATAAAAGAGTGGGATTCCAGCAGATATTTCTCACTGTTTGTTGGAGTAGTGTAGCATACCTCCCAACAGTCCCACATTTTCACCCTTCCCCAGCTGTCTCATGGACTTGGGCTGTGTCCAAAAAGACTCTGCCTGTGTAATCTGTACACACAGCTCAATTACAGGCAAATGAACTGGTATGTAATTTGCATATGAATAAGTGGAAGATGAGTTTCACATGTAAATGAGCTCCATTGACTCATATTCATATGCAAAGCTGAGGAAAGCTTCTGTTCAGCTACAGTCACATTGCACAGCCAAGGGGAGAATTTCCTGCTACAGCTGCATTGGTGAGTATATTTAATGGAGGGAGGGGTCTGTACTGGTGGGGAGGTAGTGGGCCTATAAGGGTGGGGATATTGGGGGGGGGTCTGTCTTGTAAGGAGTATGTATTAGTAAGGAGGGGGTCCATACTGTGAGGAGGAGTGTGTGCACTGAGGTGGGACTTGCAGGGAGGCATGTGATGTGGGGATGGTCTGTACTGGATAGGGGCTGTTGGGGTTCTGTTCTGAAGGGGGGTATAGGGTTGTGGGGGAATTCTATACTGGGTGGAGAATTAATACTGTGGGGGGAAATCTGTACTGGGAGGATATGAGCTTAAAAGGGAGGGAGTAACTTTTTAATTTCCTACAGAAGGATGATCTTTGTCGGGCTCAAGCTCTCCTTCTTTCAGATATTGAGGAAGAGAGCAAGGGAAATGGTAGTTAAGCCATGCAGGACATCAAGCAGGGAACAGCATTGGTGTGATGATCCAGCTGCTAAGGCTTACTGCGATGGGTACTTCAGTGATGAAGTAGGGATGGATGATGAAACTGCAGGCTGTTTGTCGGTGCCACCAATTGTATAATGCTGACAGCATAGTCACCTGTACCCTTCCTCCTAACTGGCCCTATCCTCCTTGGAACCAGCATTCCCCCATGCACCACAGAATATGTAACATCCCAGGCTAAACATTGCTATGCTATATTGCAGTGTGCATGTCTGGGGAACATAAGCCACACTGAGGTGGCTGACCATACACCATCTTCAGCGAGGCAATGTGTGACAATGGCAGGACAATGGCTCTTCATTTGGGATATATGCAGAATTTTGGCACTTGAATAGGTGACCAAAATGTTGAATATGGCAGAGATTAGTGATATAATTACTCTGATAGACCAGGCACTTGGAAGCACAGCAGCACGATGAAAAGAAAGACCTGTTGTTGTCTCAGAGCCAACAGGACCCTTTGCTTACTGCCTCCATCCCTGTAAGGCAGAGCCAGCAGGAGGCCAAGGAGAAATTTGGGGGAGAAGGTTGGAATGCTGCTGGCAGGTAGGAGTAAATAATGGGGTAGGCGTCAAAGAAGATGCTTCAAACCTCCTAGGTGTTAGATGTTGGTTATTGAGATTATTGGGGACAATATTGTCCTGAGCAAAAGTCAGGACAGGGTGAGGAGGATTCTCATCTGCAGGCAATTTTTTTTATGAATAGAGATGAGCGAATTATTCAAAAATTCGATTCGGCTGATTCGCCGAATTTGCAGGGAGAAATTCGATTTGATGCGAATTTATTCGCTGCGAATTTAACTAATTAAAAGGGTTTCTAGGCTTCAGAGAGCCTTTATATTAGTGCAGAACACTGTACCTTTAATTTAAATGCCCTTGGAGTCTGCTGGGGAAGAGAAATAATACTGTCAGTCAGTATGACATGCAGATGAGTGCCGTCGATCTTAGAATCACCGCACACTTCACTCATTTGGGCAGTCACGGGGCACGACGAAGAAGAAGAAGAAGAAGAAGAAATGAAAAGAAGAAGAAGAAAAGAATGAAAAGAAGAAGAAGAAGAATGAAAAGAAGAATGAAAAGAAAATGAAGAAGAAGAAGAATGAAAAAGAAGAAGAAGAAGAAGAATGAAAAGAAGAAGAAGAAGAAGAAAAGAAGAATGAAAAAGAAGAAGAAGAAGAATGAAAAAGAAGAAGAAGAATGAAAAGAAGAATGAAAAGAAGAAGAAGAATGAAAAGAAGAAGAATGAAAAGAAGAATGAAAAGAAGAATGAGAAGAATGAAAAGAAGAAGAAGAATGAAAAGAAGAATGAGAAGAAGAAGAAGAATGAATGAAAAGAAGAAAAAGAATGAAAAGAAGAATGAGAGAAGAATGAAAAGAAGAATGAGAAGAATGAAAAGAATGAAAAGAAGAATGAAAAGAAGAATGAGAAGAAGAAGAGATGAATGAAAAGAAGAAGAGAAGAATGAAAAGAAGAATGAAAAGAAGAAGAAGAATGAAAAGAAGAAGAAGAATGAAAAGAAAAGAAAGAATGAAAAAAGAAGAAGAAGAATGAAAAGAAGAATGAAAAGAAGAAGAAGAATGAAAAGAAGAAGAATGAAAAAGAAGAAGAGAGAATGAAAAGAAGAATGAAAAGAAGAATGAAGTATATTACTATATCAGTCTCTAATGGATGCTGGAGAGTTAAACCCCCTAACACCTGCTGTGCCCATTATGAGGGGTTCCCACCATCCCTGTGCTGAGGTTCTGGGTATGCACACCTGCTGTGCCCATTATGAGGGGTTCCCACCATCCCTGTGCTGAGGTTCCAGGTCTGCACACCTGCTGCACCCACTTATGAAAAGTTCCCACCATCCCTGTGCTGAGTTCCTGGGTCTGTACACCTGCTCTGCCCATTAGGAGGAGTTCCCACCATCCCTGTGCTAAATTCCTGGGTCTGTACACCTGCTGTTTCCCATTATGAGGGGTTTCTACCATCCCTGTGCTGAGGTCCCAGGTCTGCACACCTGCTGCGCCCATTACTAGGGGTTCCCACCATCCCTGTGCTGAGGTTCTGGGTATGCACACCTGCTGTTCCCATTATGAGGGGTTCCCACCATCCCTGTGCTGAGGTCCCAGGTCTGCACACCTGCTGCGCCCATTACTAGGGGTTTCCCACCATCCCTGTGCTGAGGTTCTGGGTATGCACACCTGCTGTGCCCATTATGAGGGGTTCCCACCATCCCTGTGCTGAGGTTCCAGGTCTGCACACCTGCTGCGCCCATTATGAGAAGTTCCCACCATCCCTGTGCTGAGTTCCTGGGTCTGTACACCTGCTCTGCCCATTAGGAGGAGTTCCCACCATCCCTGTGCTAAATTCCTGGGTCTGTACACCTGCTGTTCCCATTATGAGGGGTTTCTACCATCCCTGTGCTGAGCTCCCAGGTCTGCACACCTGCTGCGCCCATTACTAGGGGTTCCCACCATCCCTGTGCTGAGGTTCTGGGTATGCACACCTGCTGTGCCCATTATGAGGGGTTCCTACCATCCATGTGCTGAGATTCCGGGTCTGCCCCACCTGCTTTACCCATTATTAGGGGTTCCCACTGTCCCTGTGTTTAATTCCTGGGTCTGTATGTACACCTGCTGTGTCCATTGTGAGGGATTCCCACCATTCCTGCACTGAGTACCTGAGTCTGTACACCTGCCAAAAGAAAGTTTCAGGATTTTGAAGGAGCAAAATACAGTAATACTGGAACAAAAATGAGCTGCGTGGTGGAGTTGCCAGAAGAAAAAGAAAGAAGAAAAAAGAAGAAGAAGAAGAAATGAAAAGAAGAATGAATGAAGAAGAAAAGAAGAAAAGAATGAAAAGAAGAAGAATGAAAAGAATGAAAAAGAAGAATGAAAAAGAAGAAGAAGAAGAATGAAAAGAAGAAGAAGAAGAATGAAAAGAAGAATGAGAAGAATGAAAAGAAGAAGAAGAAGAATGAAAAGAAGAAGAAGAAATGAAAAGAAGAATGAAAAGAAGAATGAAATGAAAAAGAATGAGAAGAATGAGAAGAATGAAAAGAAGAATGAGAAGAATGAAAAGAAGAATGAAAAGAAGAAGAATGAAAAGAAGAAGAAGAATGAAAAGAAGAATGAAAAGAAGAAGAAGAAGAATGAAAAGAAGAATGAAAAGAAGAAAGAATGAAAAGAAGAAGAAGAAGAATGAAAAGAAGAAGAATGAAAAGAAGAATGAGAAGAATGAAAAGAAGAATGAAAAGAAGAAGAAGAATGAAAAGAAGAAGAAGAAGAATGAAAAGAAGAATGAAAGAAGAAGAAGAATGAAAAGAAGAATGAGAAGAAGAATGAAAAGAAGAATGAGAAGAAGAATGAAAAAAGAATGAAAGAATGAAGAAGAAGAAGAAGAATGAAAAGAAGAAGAAGAAATGAAAAGAAGAAGAATGAGAAGAATGAAAAGAAGAAGAAAGAAGAATGAAAAGAAGAATGAAAAGAAGAATGAAGAAGAATGAAAAGAAAGAAGAAGAAGAATGAAAAGAAGAATGAAAAGAAGAAGAATGAAAAGAAGAAGAAGAAATGAAAAGAAGAATGAAAAGAAGAAGAAGAAGAATGAAAGAAGAAAGAAGAATGAAAAGAAGAATGAAAAGAATGAAAAGAAGAATGAAAAGAAGAAGAAGAATGAAAAGAAGAATGAAAAGAAGAATGAGAAGAATGAAAAGAAGAAGAAGAAGAATAATGAAAAGAAGAATGAAGAAGAAATGAGAAAAGAAGAAGAAGAAGAAGAAGAAAAGAAGAAGAAGAAGAATGAAAAGAAGAATGAAAAAAGAAGAATGAAAAGAAGAAGAAGAATGAAAAGAAAAGAAGAAGAATGAAAAGAAGAATGAAAAGAAGAAGAAGAATGAAAAGAAGAATGAGAAGAAGAATGAAAAGAATGAGAAGAAATGAGAAGAATGAAAAGAAGAATGAAAGAAGAAAGAAGAAGAATGAAAAGAAAAGAAGAAGAAGAATGAAAAGAAGAATGAAAAGAAGAAGAATAGAAGAAATGAAAAGAAGAAGAAGAAGAATGAAAAGAAGAAGAATGAAAAGAAGAATGAGAAGAATGAAAAGAAGAAGAAGAAGAATGAAAAGAAGAATGAAAAGAAGAAGAAGAATGAAAAGAAGAAGAAGAATGAAAAGAAGAATGAAAGAAGAAGAAGAAGAAGAAGAAGAAGAAAAGAAGAATGAAAAGAAGAAGAAAAGAAGAAAAGAAGAAGAAGAAGAATGAAGAAGAAGAATGAAAAGAAGAAGAAGAATGAAAAGAAGAAAAGAAGAATGAATGAAGAAGAAGAAGAAATGAAAGAAGAAGAAGAGAATGAAAAGAAGAATGAAAAGAATGAGAAAAAAAGAATGAAAAGAAGAAGAAGAAAATGAAAAGAAGAATGAAAAGAAGAATGAAGAAGAATGAAAAGAAGAATGAAAGAAGAAAGAAGAATGAAAAAGAAGAATGAGAAGAATGAAAAGATCTGAAGAAGAAGAGTTCCTTCACAAATGAAAAGAAGAATGAAAAGAAGAAGAAGAAGAATGAAAAGAAAAGAAGAAGAAAAAATGAAAAGAAGAATGAAAAGAATGTTTCAACCGCTGAATGTGAAAAGAAAGAAGAGAAGAAGAAGAAGCGTGAAAACTTTTTGAAGAATGAAAGAAGAAAAGAAGAAGTTGGAAAAGAACGAAGAATTTTTCCTGAAGAATGAAAAGAAGAAGAAGAAGAATGAAAAGAACAATGAATAAGAATGAAATACACAAGGAAGGAAGAATTAAAGAAACCAAGAAGAAGAAAGATTAGAAAAGAAGAAAGAAGCCAATCACCTGAAAATCCCAAAGAATGAAAAAATCAAAGAAGAATGAAAAGAAGAAGAAGAAGAATGTAAAGAAGAATGAATAAGAAGAATGGAGAATGAAAAGTTTTTGAATGAAATTGAGAAGCCCAATTGAAGAATGAAAAGAAGAATGAGAAGATGAAATGAATTGAGAAGAATGCTGGAGCCCTCAAGAATGAGAAGAATGAAAAGAAGAAGTATTCCAGTACAGCTTAAAAAGTGTATCTGCAGAGAGCTCCGCTATTTCTGACAGTTCTCTGACAGTTCCTTCACATTTACAGGCCTGTTAAACATGCCCTGCTGTATCTGCTTTACCGAAGTTGAAAACATTTGTATCCTAAATGGAAACAAATAGATAAATGTTTCAACCGCTGTAAATGTGAAGGAACTGTCAGAGAACTGTCAGAAATAGCGGAGCTCTCTGCAGGGACAAACTTTTGCCTTTCCTCTGATCAGGAAAAATCCGATTCGCGCATCCCGAAGTTGGCTAATATTTGGATATCAGCACGAATAGACTGTTTTTCCTGAAATTCGAAACGAATTCCACTTCGCCTGGTTCGATTCGCTCATCTCTATTTATGAATTAAGTCTTTTATGCTCAAATACACAAGGACCCAAGGATTCAGGTTATTAAAGAAAGGGACCACTACTGAGTAGACAACTGATTAGATCCCCAATACATAGGTAAAATGGCCAATCACCTGCCACCATCCCAGAGGAAGCTAAAAATGCATCAATTTAAGGATGTGCTAAATAAGTGACCAACCTATTAGATCCACAATACATGGGTAAAATGGCCAATGAGGATATTTGGTGGCAGTTACTGCCTCAGGGCCACTTTTCACAGTTTTTGTAATCATATTGACCAGGCCCAATTGCAGGCAGCATCTGAACCCGAATTGTTTGATGATGACATCATCCAGGGCTGATGAAGTACCCCCATGGATTATTGGGTGTATATGCTGGAGCCCTCACAAGAGCTTGGACAAGTATGTACTGTAGTTTTTGGCTTGCCCTGTCTGAGACCTGCCTTCTTCCTAAATTGTGGCTTAATTAGGCTGCTTACATAGCATCTATCAGGGAAGGTTTGCCCATAGTGCCTGCTGCCAGTCAACCTGTTACCAGCCTGTCCCCTGCTGTGACATCTTCCTGCTGCCAGTCTGCCTGTTACCAGCCTGCCCTGCTGTGACATCTGCTTGCTACCAGCCTGCTGAGTTGACTGCCTGCCTTCAGCTGTGCTGTTCCTGGCATCCATCTAGCAAAGTGTTGGCTACTACCCACGCAGATCACTGGACTGATCACAGGCACTCATACCTTGCCGTGCTCTCATGGTTACTGTTCTCTGAGCCAAAGCTGTATGAGAGGCCTTCCTCTGCACATTAGGCTCACTAACCAGGTATGTGGCAGCATCCAACCACTGTACAATATTTGTGGCTATTGTCTATCAGATAATATACTGTGCTTTTCAAGATAAAACCTTCCTCATCTTTCCCTCTTAATATGCAACCTAACCAAGCTGCTCACACACTGTCTAGCCAATGTACATACATATATGCTTACATACTGTACAGCCACTATAAAATAATTATGGCTATTGTCTCTCAAATACACTCTAATTTTTATTGGAAGCTTTAAAAAGCCTTTTCTCTGTCTGCTGCCTAATCAAGGGCTCGCATACTGCCCTGATGTTGACCAGTTTCTATAAAACTCATACTAGAAATCTATATTTTTAATACTTTGGAAATAATTAGGGATTCTGGGATAAGAGGGTCTGTCACAGAGGGGTTCAGTGAATGTGGGGTTGTGGTTTTGAAGAGTTTTGTGTACTTTTGGCATTTTAATAAACAATGCAGTGTGGTACTGCAAAAAAAGAAGTTGACAGCTTTACCAGACGAAACCCACCTATAGCTTTTAGGTCTGTTGTGGCTGCTACTTTCACCAGTCCATTTAGGCCTATTACAACTTAATAAAAAATTAGGTGTCACATCCAAAACTACATAACGGAGCTTTTTTTTCAAGTGGGAAAAATCAGATTGAGCTGCTGATGCTGTTTTTGAACCAGTTTAAATGTAGAAGTTAAAAAAAAAAATTTACACATCATGTGATGCCAGAATTCAATATCACCAAAACTGTCTGTAAAAATTATTTTATTTTGTAACACCACTTACAGTTTTAAGGCAACTCTTAAGCATGTAAACATGTAAAGATTTGTGTCATCCTCTCTGCATTATCCAACGTCTATTCTTTGGCACACATGAAAGGTCAAGCTATATCTCATTCATCAGTAGAACTAGAGATTCACATAGTGTCACTTTTCTAGCTAAGCCCTACCTTTTTGCCACATGGTCAAAGCTGGTAGAAAATGCCACACTAACACATTACATGTACTGTGTAAGTGTTCAAACATTTTTCCCAAAGGTCTTTTAGAATAAGCTAGTTGGTGTCAAAAATGTACTGAACAGACTTTAACAGTGCAATAGAGGCACTGCTAAGTGTCTGCATATACCTTTATATGAATTCCCCAATACTCTGGGCACCAAATCTCAGACCACTAAAACATGCCAGGTCATACACTTGAAACTTTCAAGAGTTGGCTCATACCCCGTATCGAC